GCGCGTCCCCGTCCCTCCGGTGGGGAGAGAGGGCGCGGGTCGGAGTCATGATGCGGAGCTTTCCTCCTGTTGGACGGCGGCGGCCTCTACGAGAACCTGGAGGTTCCGGTAGCATTGTTGCAGCAGCGATATTCTGGCCGGCCCAGGCGAATTGTGGGACATCGTTCCCCTCATTCACGATGTCATGCTGGACCTGACAAGCGCGACACCGGGCGCCACTCGTTGGGCCATGCGCATGGGGCACAACGTGCCGCACCGAGTGTGCCGGCGCAGGCAGTGGCTGGTTCTGCCATTGTCGCAATTCCTCGGTGTGTGCTTGCGTAGACACGAGGGCCTCCGCACATGGGTCCGGAGGGGTGTGAGTTTGCACAGACTCCACGACCACCGGTAGCTATCCTGGGCCGTCCGCCATAGCGCACTCCCAGGACAGACGGTGGCGGGGCGCCACATCACCGATGCTGGAACCGTCGCTCTCGCCCTCGTTGTCCGGGAGTTCATGGGAAATGACAGGAGCGAAGCCTGCCATTCCTATGAATTTGGACGTGAGTGGGGATGGTGCCCGTGCCCTTTGGAGCCCTCGAGCGTAAGCATCCACGGAGGACACGAGGCCATAGGGGAACCAATCGTACGGTGTTTGTGGTGTGGTTCATCCGGGTGATCGGTGGGAGATAGTAAATAAAGGGCAAATAAAAGTACGCGTATTACTTACAGTGGGGTTTGAGCAGAGAGTTTGCGCGGAATGAAGCATAGAGCCCTCCGACGGGTGCCAGGTCGTGAGCCTCCTCGTGGAGGTGTAGTATGCCGAGTCGGTCGGCGATGTAGTCCAGGCTTCCAAAGAGGAAGGCCTGGGATGGCTCGAAAACGGGTGGAACCCGCATCCCCGCAAGCGAGAGTGCGGGATACTCCAGCGAGCCAAAGCGAATCGTATCACCCGAGCCCGCCACGGCGGGGGTGGTGGAAAAATGGGCCATCCGATGACCAAAAAGTGTTGAACGTATAGCGTCTTCCCCACGGACGGCGCCAACTGTCGGTATAGAAAGTGACCAACTAGTGAATATTTGTAGTTTTACTGTACGTTGTGATTGGAGGTGGCCTAGCACTCAATGACATGGGATTTATACTGGTTCAGGCAACGTGCCCTACGTCTAGTTTGGGTCGGTCGGTGACTTTATTCCTGAGCCTAGGTGCTCGAAGTCTGTAGTGGGGTTATAAACAAGAAGGAGAAAGGTGGGGTGTACGTGAGGCCCGTTGGGTCTGACCGAAAGGGCCGAGAGCGACCGGAACTCCGCTATGAGCTAAGTGTTCAAGCGTGTGCTTGTGGTCCAAACCTGGCGGTTATGTGGTTGTGAGCTATTGGACTAATGAATCTAAAGGAACTGAGCTTCAATGAATCGGTCTGGGGGAGTGCATCCCCTTTTATAGATGAAGGGGATGGCTTTACAGGTGAGAGGGAGAGGGTACGGATGCTTTTAAGCCTTGTTGCCCACGCCGATGAGGATTGGATAATGGTAGGCGCCCACAACACTGTTGATGTCATTGTAGAATGTCAGGTGCACGTGGGAGGTTGCGGTGTCTTCTTCAGGAATGGTTGACGTCGGTACCTGCAAAATACTGCTTGCCTAGAGGCATGCAAGGAGTCTCACGACGTTTACCGGGTACGACGAATCCCGGCGCCTTCAACACTATTGATGCCCAGAGGCATGTGAGGGGCTTTCTGCCGTACGGGAGTCCAATGACGCCTACAATACTGTAGGGATAAATGTCGACGCCTACAATACTGTTTGTGTCAGGTGGTTGTGGAAAACTGTTCCCACAGGTGTATAGGGTATGGTCCCTGTACCGTGGTTTGACTCGCGTGCTGCTTTCTCCATTCGTCCCTAGTCCCTTCCGAGCGGGCGTCCCTGGTCGGATGGCCCCAGTCGGCTTCGGTTGTGCCGGTTGAAGAAGAGCGGCGAGTAGGGTTCTTACGTACCCCGGTTGGAGAGACGCGGGGTCAGAGTCGGAAGTAGGGCTCGGGGTAGGCCTTCCGATCGGAGAGGCCGTTCGGAGGCGGCTGGAACTCGAATCGAGCGCTCCGGTCGGATAGGTGGGCCGAAGTAGCTGATGAGCGGGCATTGCTCTTCTTGGGCCGGCCCTTCCGGTCGGTTGCTGGACCGCCCCTTTGCCCTGTTGTTTTTAGACTCTCGGGTCGAGCTTAGGCGTGGAAGCCGGTCCCCGAGGGACCTCGGATTTATGAACCCGACAGATGGGTTTTGAAGATGGAGGTGGCTCATAGAACTCAACCCTTGGAGCAGTGAGGTTTCAAATAGAATGTTGCTCCTTGGTTACAAAAGAAAAGAAAAGAAAAGAAAAAAGTAAGTTCAGGATAAGATATGAGGACGAACATGGTCTAAAGAAAAAACCGCTACTGTTCCCGAGCAACGACGCTAGAAATCTTGTTGGTTATTTTAACGACCCGCAAATAAATCCGAAAGCGTATAGATACCATTGTAGCTTTCACCCGGGAGTATTCCTAGGTTTTATTAAATCCACAAGGAACCTGAGTATTTATCTAAGGAACATGTTTGTCCAAGGACAACAAGATAGGTGTTAAGCAAGGATAGATAGGATAACTAAGGGATGAACCTAAGTCTTGATAAGGACCGCTCTCTACTTGCTTACTTTGGGCACCAGCTTCAACTTAGTTGGTGCTAAGTCCTATCTGGCCTTTTACTCTACGTCATACTCGAATGTGGGGATTACAAAAGACGGATAGGGCTATCACCACCTACCCCTAGGAACCCATAGAGTACAAGGCAAACAATGGTAACCTATAACATAGACACCACCTCTACATTACGGATTACTACTCTAGCCCTGATCAATAGATTAGAGCACTCACTACTACATTCAGACCTATCATAGCCATGTTGTAACCCCTCATCGCAGCCGAATTTCGACGTCGACAGTATTCACTCGACGGTGATAGTCGAAGCTATCACGAACAGCTAGGAACTAACTATGTTGAGGCTACAATCATAATCATGTGGGCACATCAACCGCCTGTGTAGTGCTCACCAGCATCATCGCCTTGTACTTCGACCTGACTATCTACAGTGCGGGGTCACTGTCGCTTCGAAGGCCAAGACGTCTATGTAGAGGTAAACATCACCGTCGCTTCAGCATATGATCCCTCAATATAGACGTCATGGTCACCGTCGCCTTGCACCACGATCCATCTTTAATGATCGTTTAATTTAGTCAGTGTCGGGTTACTAAACGATTTGGTGGTGATACACTTTTGATCCCTGCCGTATCATACGTATAGCGACGGCGTTGGACGTTTGCACCACCAATGTCGGTGGTGATAACAAAACAATAAACGGGCCTTAATAGCTTACTGAATACAAAGCATACAAATATAATCATTACATCCATAAACCATGTTCTTAGAATAACAATGAACGCTTACCATAACATCTTTCTCAACTGATGTCCTAACACAAGCAGTACATTGATTGCATACTAAAGGTACTATCTCTACAAATTTACATAATGAAACGATGTAGTTGTGCTCCTCCTATGTGGCACTCCTGCTTGCAAGGCAAAATGAATATAATTAGTGCATCCTTTGGATTGGTAGCCAACACACCATGGAACCCCTCTTCTTTCTCCCTTAGCCAATGCACGAAAACTGTTCAAAAGTACTCAGACTCCACAAACTGCACAAAGCAACAGAATTAATGATATTCAACACACCATTTCTTTAGTTACCAAGCCCAAATTGGCCTATATATAGAATCAAAACAACTACCTACCTGAACAAAGACATGACATAACAACAAAATACAACATATGCACCTTTACTGCTCTGCTAATGATTCCATAAACAAGAGAACATAAGAAAGATAGTGAGGTCCGCTGCTTATACATAATAGTTTTCAAGTAGTTCTAGGATAGCCAATGACCCGGCCTGGGAGGACACGAACTTTCCTGCGATTCATGTCATATGCAATCAGTGTTTTGTCCTCACTAACAAGGAAAATCAAATTCCATTCAAGATGAACTACAATCACTTGTAGGACACATCGCAAACCTCGGTACCAATTTCAATATTCTTCTGTCCAAATAGCTCACTACAATTTTTTGACTCTATTGCACCGGCAAATTTTTGATGTAATAGGGTCAAAATTGATGCGATAGCTTAGTACCGCATCAATTTCGCGTTTGATGTGAGTAGATGCAATAGATTTAGATGCAATAGCCTTGTCGCATCGGTTTGTTGTGATCGATGCGAGAGTTTACTATTGCATCGGCCATTCGTTGTCTCTTGCATCAAAATAGAGAGATGTAAAAGGGTTATTGCATCAAAATCGTTTTGATGCAAGGTTGCTATTGCATCGGCCATGAATGTCTCTAGCATCGAGATAGAGAGATGCGAAAAGGTTATTGCATCAAAATAATGTTGATATAATACATCTAATAAATTTGATGCAATAAGAATTTTTATTGCAACGGCTAACGTTGGGTGCAATAGACCATATTGCAATTCAAACTATTGCATTGACGTTAGGTTCGATGCAATTCAAACTATTGCATCGACATTAGGTTCGGTGCAATACAACCTATTGCATCGACATTAGGTTTGATGCAATTCAAACTATTGCATCGACATTAGGATCGATGCAATACAAACTATTACATCAACGGTAGGTTTATTGCAACAGTCGCTGCCACTTTATATTGCATCTGTTTTGTTTGCTGAATAATTAAGATTTGCGGTACATAAATTCACAAAATTACAAAATACAATAGCACAAATGGGCAGTGATATTTATTACTTTGATCATCTATGCTCAACAGTGTGTACAATAATAAAATAAAAAAATTTCATAGTTCATGAATGTAATAGCATGGTCATCTGAACTGCAGACTAGACAACAAACTTATAAATCTAAACAATTATACTAATGACTCTTAGCACAAATCAGCATAGGATCTGTCATTTTAGAATTTTTTATTCAGTTCATCTTGCCAATAGTTCGAGCGCTCTTCTCAAGGTTCATTTCCTGCACTGAGCAAAGCTTTGTTCCTACAACCAGTAAAAAACACGTAAATGTTAGCAACCTGATCTCACCAAGAAACAATTCAATTTTGTCAAACAATGTTAGTAAAACCAACATGAATGTATCTCATGTATATAGGATGAAGCCTATAAATTCTCAACTTCTTTGACAACATTGAATTTACAATAACAAGAAACATGTGGAAGCATGTTGTCGAGTTAGATTTTCTTAAAAAGTATTATGTATGGGAAGACAACAAAACAACCTTGATTTACATTCAACTAAGTATTTTGCAAGCTTGTCAACTCTATATCTTTTATTATAACAGGTGCTTTAATAGGAAGAACAGAAATAAATAAGATCTCATTTGTCCTTGTCATTCCCAATGGAACAAAATGTGACTAAGATACATGTGCAAATACATAAGGAAAAAAAAGATAAGCAGCAATTATTCAGAAACCCTTCTCACTCTTCCCTCTCTGATGTTTAGAGCCTACCAACACTAGTATATTGCCTGTGCTAACCCTACGGTAAAAACAAAAAGACAATATCAGCAGCACAAGCACCAGATTCACTTTTGAAACAACTCAGAGTAATTAACTATTGCAAAGCCTAGCCTAGCTGTACAATACCAAGTTACACGAGAACTTGAACTAAAAAAATGAACCAAGGAAAAATGAAGAACTCACCGAGGCACCAGGAAGCTTGTTTCCAGCAATGCCAGACCTAGATAGAGTATCAATCGAACAACCAGATTCCATAACAAGCATCATATTATGAAATCAGACTCTAAATGTATTTCTCAAGCATTCATATTTTCAATCTAAGGCAATACCACCGACTTGCAGAACTATTCCCAACAGAGTTAACAAAGTAGTTAAGTAATCACCTCCTTCTGGTCTGCAGTGCTAGATGACATGGATGATAACATCAGGCCAAGAATCAATAGAGGTGCAAGGAAATTCTGCAGCTGTTTCATAGCATTCTCCTGGAAATTCCATCCTTCATCTGTATTGGATTCCTCTGTGCACCAAGAGATTGAATTTCATCAAAGGTTGAAATAGTTAGTGCTGATGTCACGAAACAGAAATTGCAACCAAGAGATTGCATTTCCTCTGTGCAAAAGCTATGGCATTCATATGACACCTGCTGTGTATTGCAACCAAGATAGACATGCTTGGCATTTTCACAAACATCTTATGAGCAATCACAGTAGTGCCATCTGCCATGATCCTAAGCATAAGCAAAGATTTCCCTAATCTCCAACCCAGCACAGAGCTGGTCGAACTTACCAGTACCAGCAACAATGACATGGACACGTGCTTGCAGATGCACTTCCTTGTTCATGGCAATATGCTGACCGGATGGGTGGCCGACGTGGGGCACGGGTGCCACGGATGGCGGCGAAGTCCTCGGCAATCTCATCCCTGGTGAGCACGACATGTAGCACAGCGACGGTGTCTGAAAACAAAGCACTAATGCTTCAAAAAAATAGCTTTTACCGAAAATGTCTGAATTCACATAGATATATAGCATACTACAGTGCTATCAAATGTAGCACAGCAGCAAATGGTCAAATGCATCCGGTCTCCTGTGACCTTACTACCTGTACAGAAATCGCAGAAATCATTTGAACGCCCTCCTCTGCTGTATTGAACTTTGAAAAGGCAGAAAAGGAACAACCTCTTATCCTAGTGTCAATCTCAGAGATAGGTGTGGGAAAGGGAGAGGAAGGAGCTGCCATCCATCTTTTGCCCTCGCTAGATCTAGGGGATCCTGCACCTCCACCTCTGAAAGAGGCTCGCCCGCACTGCCATCGATCTTGGAGGCCCGGCCGGATGCACCTCAGAGCCGCCACTTTCCAACGGATCGGGGCATCACCCCAGGATCCGAGCGCCACCAGCCAGGAGAAGACCAAGCACTGGCATCCCAGAGGGAGGGTGCCTTGCGCACCGGCGACCAGGAGGCGGCCGCGCGCCGCTGCTTGGAAGGAGAGCGGCGCATGCGCTAGCGCCGTTCAGCTGTCCGCGGCTCTGCATCGAACTGAGAGGGCGTCGAACAGCGGGGGCACACCTGCTCTGCGACTTGGCTGGAGCTGCGCGTTGGAGCCCCAGGCCTCCATGGACCCCGGCGGCCGCCACGGGCTTGAGCAGGGAGTGGCGGCGTGGTCTACACCGGCGGTTGTGTTGTGTGAGAGGAGATATAAAAGAGTGGGTAGGGTTTTGATCCGTTTTTCATTTGTTTTGGACGGAGGGCAACTGCACGGGCCAGAGGCCAGCGCGCGAGATTTGGAGACGCCCGAGGCCAGCGCGCGAGATTTGGAATTTGATGGAAGGGAGACAAAAATTTTCGCTAGATGGCAATCTCCCATGGCGCTAATTTGAATTTATTTCTCCCTAATAATTCACAGAAACGGACGTATTTGATTTTTTATAAAACAGAAATGCATCATACAATTAAATGAAGGACAAATAAAGAATATTAGCACGTTAGTTTGAAGTATAAGTATATTACTACCTTATAAAATATGGGTATTATTATATTTTCAGGACATTAAATTCTTATAAAAGTTATTTTAGTGCGAAAAAATTAAATTATTTTTGTTGTACATTTATAAATAATATATAATACCAATTTTTAAAACCATTTGAATTTTTATGTAAATATTATTGTCACAAGCCAGAGATGGCTGAAAAAACGACTGGCAAAATAGGAACGAAGGCGATAGAGGTGCCCCTCGAATCTTGTAATTGGATTTTGTCCCAGGGCTACCCCGCAAGCCCTACTTGCTAGCGCTGTAAAAAAATGCCCGAGGAGCCTTTCACCAGGTGGGTTGCGTTCTGCCGGATGGACGGTTGCATTGGAGGTTTTTTTAGCTATAGAGATTATGAATTGAAAACAGTCCATTTTTGGTGAAGAGTCTTGGGCCATGGGCCCACCCGCGAGTCAACAATGCATACTACTAGAAACACAACCTATAACGCCCATCTTCTATGGTGTCATGTCTAACCTCTTCAAGCATAGATGGTTTTTAGTGAAACACACGAAAGAGGCATTGTCCAACACATGTTCATGCCTACTCCCTCCATCCACAAAAAAAAATGTAATTATGGGATCTATGCAGGTCAAACTAGCTCAATCTTAACAAAGTTTATAATAAATAATAATAGCATTTGTGTCTCCAAATAAATTTATTATGAAAATATATCACTGTCGGTGTTTCGAGTTGCCACCGACAAGTAAATTTCTAATATTGCGCGTCTGATTCGGATGGTGTGCTAAGAGGACACGAGGTTTATACTGGTTCGGACAGAATGTCCCTACATCCAGTTCGTTGCTGCTGCTCATGTTACTAGCACTGAAAGTTCGTAGTAGGGGTTACAAACAGCCGAGAGAGGGATAGGTCCCAAGTCTATGGTGAGAGGAGCGAATGGGTTCGAGTCCCTTTCATGGGACGCCCTACTTTCCCTTTTATAGGCCAAGGGAAAGCACGGGTTACAGTGGAGGGAAAAGAGGAGAGGGAGAAGGAGAAGAAGTCCTCCAGGATCACCGGGTCCTTCTTTTCCTTCATGCGGGTCCCGCCGACCCTGTAGACGTCAACAGGGATAGCTCTACATCGTGGCCCTGTCCGTCACTGGCGCCATACGCAGGTGTCGTCTCCCGGTCGTGGCGCTCCACTCCGTCCTGGCGGACGTCGTGGTGAACTGACGTGCCTGTCAGTGCTCATACGAGGGTTAGGCAGAACAGCACCGGTACGCCCAACGTTGTTCCTGATGTGAATCACCAGGTATGGCCCATCACGGCCACAGGTTATATCGGGGCATGCCGGTCACCTCCTTGGTGTCAGAGCTTTGACCCAGACTCATTCACTACCTAGAGTGGTCGTCGTTGGTATGGGTCTCCGTCGAGTGGGACGGATCCCTTAGCCTCGGGGTCGATCGAGGCGGAGTCCACCCCAGAGGCTAGGCGAGGCAGAGCGCAAACCCAAGGGTCGAGCGAGGTAGAGCCCACCCCCAGAGGCTAGGCGAGGCAGAGCCAGCCCTCAGAGGTCGGGCGTGGCGGAGCCCGCGGCATCGGTATCGGGCGAGGCGAAGCCCGCCCTTAGAGGTCGGGCAAGGCAGAGCGTAAACCCAAGTATCGAGCGAGGCAGAGCCCGCCCCTAGAGGTCGGGCGAGCCGGAGCCTATCATCAGAGGCTAGGCAAGGCAGAACCAACCTTTAGAGGTCGAGCGACATGGAGCCCACGGCCTTAGTGTCGGGTGAGGCAGAGCCCACACCCAGAGGCCAGGCGAGGCGGAGCCAGCCCTCAGAGGTCGGGCAAGGCGGAGCCCACCCCCAGAGGTTAGGCGAGGCGGAGCCTGTCCTCAGAGGCCGGGCGAGGTAGAGCTAGCCCTCAGAGGTCGGGCGAAGCAGAGACCATGGCCGCGGTGTCGGGCGAGGTGAAGCCCATCCCCAGAGGTTGGGCGAGGCATAGCCCACCCCCAGAGGCCAGGCAAGGCAGAGCTTGCGCACCTGGGGGTTAGTTGAAGATGTAGTCGCGCTCTTGACTGCTCAGATGAATCAATGTTGATGGTTATTAGCTCCTCCTCTTCGAGTACCCTAGTATTGGTCCCCGACAGTAGCCGCCGAGCCTGTGGAGGAGTAGAATACTTCTTCAAAGGCTTTTCCAAACTGGAGGACTCTGAAGGCCTCGGCCTTCTTTTGTTTCCAATAGCGTGACCTGGGGGCGGTGATTCCCTTTCCTCGAGCCCCCTCCCATAGCAGGGGCCCGGTCGAGGATCGGTTCGTCTTTGTGATTGTCTTCCCTCAAGCGTTTTTCCGATAAAAATGGAAGGGCCAAGCCGTGCCATGATTTTTCTCTAAGGATGAATCATGGCACTTGGTGAGCTGTTAATGGGCTAGTCTGAGTGGGGCCCCTAGCATCCCATTCGTGGGGATCCAGCTTGGGTCAGCTTGGTGACTGACCCTAGATTCTCAGCGGTTAATTCATATAGTTTTTGGGTCCGTACAACCAGTCCTGAGGGCTAAATACCTTTTTGAAAAAAACCATGGATCATAACTGGACGACACTCGAACATGGGCCAGGATGCCCACGGCGCTCGTGCGCTCGGGTACTGGCCGCTAGCAGGCATATCCCTTTCCACCTCTCACCCTAAAGGTGCCTGGAGCGGTTGTCGAACCCATCGATGGGCTGACCTATGAACTCCTGGGCCCAGACGGGCCATTGAGACGCTTTTAGATCCATATTCCTCTTACTCATGACGAGTCATCGCCCATCCGGAGAGGCGAAATGTCCGACGAGTTTTCCAAGGGAACAGACAGAGATTGCGTGCACATGTCCCTTGGTGGGACATTGCGGCAGATCATGGCAGGCATGGAGATCTTGGCAGGCGGTTGGTTTCCTCGCATCCATTGCCCCTATAAAACCAAAGGGTTCACCACTCGGATTCCATACCTTGCATCCTTGCCTCTGCAGCAACGACCACCGCCGTTAATTGCTCAGGTTTCTTGTCTCCGTATCCCCACCACTGTCGAGCTCGCATCCACCCACCCCCATCTCCAATGGATTCGTGGTGCTACTCTGACATCACCTTCCAGCGCATGGAGGGCCTCGTCCATCGCGGTCTTCTCTACGCGCGGACCGCGATTGAGGAGTGGCTACTGTCCAGCGAGGAGGATGTGCCGTCGCCACCCAACGGCTATGTGGTGTTGTTCACCCACTTCCATGAGCATGGGTTTGCGACCCCCACCCACAGATTTCTTCAGGGGCTGCTGCACTACTACAAGATCAAAGTGCAGCATCCCAATCCCAACGAGATCCAGCACACGGCGGCGTTTGTCGCCCTGTGCGAGGGGTTCCTGGGGATCAGCCCCCACTTCAATTTCTAAAGGTACTTCTTTGCCAACACCCTCCAGAAGAAAAGGGGAAGAGCTGTCACAGAACCGTCCAATTTATAAGAGCACAAGTATAATAGCAATCACCGAAGCGATCAAACCGTCATACTTGAGCCCATATAAACCCGGTAGTCCAACAAAATCGCAAAGGATCTCAAACAACCAACATACAAACCAAGATCATAGAGATTCAACGCAACCAGTCATATGTTACATCATAGTTCACAAATATTTCTCATACATCAGAGTTCGAATAATTATTACAAACCAAGTTTGAAAGTAGCGGGAGTAAAGTAGTTTAACATCGACATCACACATAGTTTAATACAAAGCCAGTGTCATAGTCATCTCCAACCAAAAGCACAAGGGTGAGATGAAATACAGAATGACCATTGCCCATGGTCCTAGTCCTCATCCACTGCAGGAGCAAGGCAGTTCTTGTAGTAGCCATGATACATAACGTTATCTACAACAATGGGAATAAAACCCTAAGTACGAGAAGGTACTCAGCTAGACTTACCCATCATAAACTAGAAATAAAGTGACACCAAGGAGTATGCAAGGCTTTATAAGTAGAGCTGGCAGACATTATTTGCAGAAAAAGCATAAGTTATCCAACATCTCATTAATTGTGAATCACCAATTATTAATCCTATCTCATACTAGATTAGCAACTATCCTATTCCAAACATGTGGGTACCATTAAGTCATCACAATAATAACCATATCCAGTTGAGTTCTTGCATAATCTCATAACCAACATTTCCATCATTTACTACGATGAAGTATATTCCTGTCAGTTCTCACTATCCGGGAAAGACGGTGATTCGAATTGATTCCTACCCAGCTGGGGAATTATTCCTAACACACACCCATACTTCCACCGTCAGGGTCGCATTAGGTCACCTTTGGTACAACTCAAGTACAATCGCAGGTACGACCAGCGCCGCGCCCTCAGAGATACAACAAATCTGCCAAGGGTGATTAGGACTCCAACCTGCCCTTGGGCTTACGCCATTGGCTCTTCGCACATCCTTACTGCCTCTAGGGTGTGCACTTTTACCGCTCGTGGTCCCGGCCTGAGTTGAGCTACTCGGCTTGGCAGTCAGAATGACTTATCCGGCCAACTATGTGAGAGGCATGCGTTCAACTTGATAAGATGAACCTTCAACGGCCGGTCCTTAAACGACATAGATGGAATCACTACGATACCACAACATAAGACTCCACCCGGTCTCCATTTATTCAACAATACTAGGTTATGTTCCACGATAGCACAATATAGCCAACCTTGATCAAGTTATCACCTATAGCTCGCAGGTGACAGCAAATCACCCGACTTCTACCAGTCTAAGCATAGCTAAGCATGATAAGCATTCCTAGACTTAAATAGGATTCATGGTAGATATTTCTGGTCAAGGAAAGGTAATATGTAGCAAGTGTTTCCAAACAACTCCTGCTACGTAATGCATCAATA